TCAATGGGAAAAATGTATGCTATTTCAGTAATCACTTTTTACCGAGTACGGTTTCTACAGGAGATTGAAAAGCAGTGTGTTTAAAAGCTGACATCCTGCCGAGTCCAAAATGTCATAAGATTATGCCGTAAGATAATAAGTATTACAACCGCGCCCAAGTAATCCTTCCTAATCGAAAATGCATTTCAGAATTTCAGCCAACATTTCATGGGATCGGCCACTCACTGTACTCTGAAAACAGTTACTAGTTGGTATAAACTAATCTTTGGAGCACAGAGTTGGGTGTGAGCGCGGATACAGTGGCCGACAAGACTAAACAGCTCGCCCACGCCTGCCACACATGACTTTTTCCCCATAAGACGTGTCGGGCTGCAGTGAGGACGGCTCGGTGTTCACACCAGTGAGAGTGTCATAAGGAGCACATTGAGAGGGAGCCGCTGCAGCCAGCCCCTTCAGTCCTTCAGGCGCTGCCAAATACGTAAACAGCTCACTTAGGGTGTAATGAACCAGACGCAGACAGCGGTTTCAGGGTCGTCACCGGTCATCAGTACGTCAGAGGTCTTGCGAAGTGAGGTATGTAAGCATGTAAAGAAAGCGTGTAGCCCTTACTGTGGGTCTCACTCGATCCCATTTCGTGCGCCCGTCGCCAGCGTGCTACTGGCGACAACGAATCTCAATGAGAACCAAGTTATGCCCCCCCCCCCAGTCGTCAAACTTCCATGCCCCAGATCCTGGTGCACCGCCATGAATTAAAGTGCGTCATATTGATTATTGTGAGGAATGAACTAATTTGCCATGGAGAGGGATACCTCAGTGTCTATCTCACTCCATCCTCCTGCACAGGTTGGCTGCTCGAGCCTCTACACCAATTGATGGTGAGATTGGACGCAGCGGCTGGCGAAGCTGCCACAGTCCGTCTGTGTGTGCCACATACGACCTGATTACCACAAAATGAGCCAGGCTATGGTAAAGATGACACCGAGCTCACATCAGTGCGAGTGCCATGAAGGCCAACCTCGTGGTCCGACTCTCAGTCCTCCAGTTACTCCATCATATCCGGCGTGAAGATCGAGTTATTCCGTCGGTTGGAAACCTTCCTCGCCCCGACTCTTAGCGCGCCGTGATAGATTCAGTGGTTTTAAAGGAGACAAAACGTAGTGTTCTTGAATATATACAGTACGTGGGCTAACTCATGAAATGTCCACCTAAATGCTGAAATGCGTTTTCGTTTCGAAAAGATTAACTAAATAGGGTTGTAAAACTAGTCAACCTGCAACAAGATTCTATAATACTTCAGCTACCTCAGGATGCCGGCTTTCGAATGAACTTCCTTCCAGTTGCATGCACAAACGACACTCTGCATAAACGGCTACTTAAGTAGCATGTATGTTGTCATTGATTTTCGATGGCCTTAAGTATTCAATTATATTTCATGGAAAACATGCATAAACATATTTACTATTTCATCCATTCGGTAGAAAACTAGGTCTTCATCCAATTTTCTACTCGAAGAATGGGTATGATTCGGTTTTAAAAAAGTTTCTAATTGTGAGATTTTTTAATATCCTGAAATGGCCGTTCATAAAACGCCATGTTTCTGCATTTACCAATACGGCTTGTAAAGTTAACAATATGGCTCAAATTTCCTCTTAATACCGTAGAGAAATGCAAGGATTTCCGTACGCGGGAAGAAAACGGCTTGTACTTTGGAAACACTTGAATGCAAGTATAACGTCAGGCCGAGTTCAAAATTATTCAGGAATTGGAGGTTTGTGAAAACCGAATTATACCCATTCTTCGAGTAAAAAATTGGAAGAAGACGTAGTTTTCTACAGGGTGGACGAAATAGTAAATATTTTTATGCATTTTTTCCATGAAACGTAATTGAATATTTAAGGACATCGAAAACCACTGGCAAAGATACATGCTATTTAAGTAGCCGCTTTTTGCAGTGTCGTTTGTGCATGCAGCTGGAAGGAAGTTCATTCGAAAGCCGGCATCCTGAGGTAATTGAAGTATCATAGAATTATGTTGCAGGCTGACTAGTTTTACAACCCTACTTAATTAATCTTTTCGAAACGAAAACGCATTTCGGAATTTAGGTGGACATTTCATGAGTTAGCCCGCCTACTGTAAGAAGGGAACAATGGTATTTGTGCTGCAAGCTAGCTCTGATTCATTAAAGAAGGCATTTTATGAGAAGATGGTTCAGTGGGGTTTACATATGCCGTGTCCTGGCGCTTCAGGTAGGTCGGATTTGGCATGGCAAGAAATGTCCACTGTAAGCTGACGTCATATGCCAGCGGTCGCAAACCACAACTTCAGCCTTGTTTATAATGTTTTACGCACTAGTAATTACGCAAATAAACTTGTTCTACCCAACTAGGAGTGTCGGCTGCCTGGCGCCGACAACTTCGTAAACATCCTCATTGGACCGATTCGTAACCGGAAATTTTCTCGGCTGATGCGTGACCGTCGTGAGGGGGTTGTACAGTTTGTGATAAACAGCCTCATAAACCCGCGAAGTTCCGATAAAAACAACAAGAAGCGGCGATAAGCCCGAAGTTCAGCAGCTTGCCTGTATTCGCCTTCAGGATGCGTTCGTTCGATGTACTCAGAATCTGGGAATCCGCTGAGGCCTCCATACAGTTATTTTTCTGGACTTTTGCCTCTCAGATGTCCCGTTCACCTTTCAGTTAGATTTAAGATGAACACAATATGAGTCCTCAAGTCTCCCGTCTAGGTCCCAGTAACGCTTTTCTAGTTCTGGACGGTAAATATTACCAGTCTGCGGATCAACTCCTCCACAGTCACATAGAGTTCGCTTATGAGACCCTCACTTCACTATGGCCTGCCTTCCTGCCTTGATATTAACCAGTTTAGCCTTCTCACCGGCTTTCCATCAAAACTGTCGCTAATAAAGTGCCAGTGACATCCCGTGTGCGCCGCTAGGAGGGAGTGTGGCCGAAAACGTACTCGAGTCGTACCTTTGAGCAGGACTCAACCTGAAAGTGATAAGTGGGGTTGCATGCAGCTAGCAGGCAAACCGCAGCACGCCGAGTGAGAACGCGGCTGTAGAGGTTAACCTCCTTCTCCGAGTTATGTTCACGCTATACTCAGACGAACTGCTGTGTAAGAGCAGTTCAAAGCCAAAAGCTTGTTTCTTTGGAAAGTGTATTTATGTTTCGCCGAATCTGCGGCGAAATCCCCTCAAAGAAAAGGTTAGCTCTGATCGATCCGGTGCAATTGGCAACAAACGAGGGAAACGCAGGCCAGGGGCAGCAACAGTCGTGACAATAGAAAATAAGCGTGATCGGGACTTTGTAGTATGTGTAATCTGAATCCGACGCCACCTCCATGGAAGATCTCCACAAAAGCATCTTTAGTGGCCCAAAGTGACTGTTAAGGACTATAAGAGGGACAGATGCCAGACTAGTCATTGTGTTAGTCCTAGTTATGAAATCCCTGCAAAAGTCTATAATCAGAGATAATGGAGGAAGAATAGCAAATGAACAGCTTCGCTACTATTCCACGGCCCGCGTCAATGACTAGTAGAGGGTTCGCTTCGTCTGGCATTGGGAGTGCTGCATGTGATTGGCGGGAGACCGATCGGCATACGGGTTTATGGAGTTGCTTTCTGAGATCCAGACCTCAAAAAGCTCTCGCTATACTTTATTGCCGGCCCGTTACATTGCATTTGTGTTCCGAAAGTCGAATTTATAGTCTGCGTTCAGGGAGTGGGCAACACCTTGTTGCTGACCTACTACACGGATTTGGAAGCTCGGCAGATTCCATCACGGTTCCGGCAACCGATCTTCCTTTAAATTTCCCAGTGAATGTTTACAACTCAGCAGCACATCCACAGAACCCTGGAAGGGTAAATTCCCAAGAGACGGTTAGGTACACTAGGTGTACAGACGGCGCAAACATGGAAAAAACAAAACCGGAGACATGCATGATTGTTAAAATTAAATTGTGATCGTTGGAACAGCAGTTTTACAAGCCTGAGTTCAAAGGCTGGGGTTAAAAAACTGCTATCCTAGTGATCGTCCGTTCATCTCCCTTGGAACAAGAACCTGGGACTCGCATATTCACCTATATTCATGTACATAATTGCTTCTGCAATTGCTCAGCCCTTGCAACAGAATCGACCGGACATGATGGGTGAGCACTCAAATCCAGTCAACTTGGAGAAATGATATATATGCCGTTGAGAGGGCCAGGCAGTGGACAGATTCCGCTATCTATGTCTTAGAAAGCAACTACTGGTGGTTAAGAAAGTAGGATCGAAGTTCTGGTGCGAGATTGTCATGTTGGAGTTTGGTTCCCGATTTCGGAGATGAAATTTTTTGGGGTGAACTGGATACAATCCAGTGAACAACAATGCAGCTGTTTTTTTTCGTGTGAAGTTGTGTTCCACGAAAGCGGTCTATCGATCGTCCAGTGGACCAACTAGGGTCAGGAGGATTCCGTGGAATATTAGGAATTAGAAATAACTCAGTTCCACATCGTTTACTCGGCACGTTTAAATCGGTTACTCTAGAGCAGACGCACACGAAGCCGTCTACAGCGCCGTGTGGAGGCAAAAGCTTTTTCTAGGTACTATAACGCGAGAGAAAGTAGATCCACCTATGCTATAGCATATACTTGAAACAGCTTAACTACCATTAACTCAGTATTAACATTCAATTATTCCATGGTGAATAATTTTGTACTTTCGAATTCGTATGCTCACATGTGCCAGCAGTGAGTAGAGGTGTTTTTGTGGAGCGGACATTTTTCCGACTGAGATCCCGACGGTGCTTTCTATCGCCAGACTCATCGTAATAATCATAATAATAGTAATACTAATAATAATAATTCATATTGACCCAACTGTAAAACAACTCGGCGCCTTGGTGGGATTCATACCCACGCAGTAAGGGGAAGGCTTTAGTACAGCCAACGCTCTAACCACTTGAGTTACGAGGCCCCGCCGGACGACGCGAGTTTAATCGCAATTGGGGTCAAGTTACCCGCCCAACCTACTGCAACGTCTGGAATCCACCGAATCGGCTACAGTAAGTTGACTGCCCATGCAGGATTTCCTAAGTAATACACCTAGAATCCACCAGGTGACTACCATGCTCACGTAATTCATAGATGTGAATTACTGTGTGGGTTCGAATTCCACCAAGGCGCCGAGTTTTTCACAGTGGGGTCAATATGAATTATTCAAAATCTCCCAAAACATATATGAATCACGTGAGCCTGGTAGTCATCTGGTGGATTCTAGGTGAATTACTTAGGAAATCCTGCTTGGCAGTCAACTTATTGTAGCAGATTTGGTGGATTCCAGACGTTGCAGTAGGTTGGGCGGGTAACTTGACCCCAATTGCGATTAAACTCGCGTCGTCCGGCGGGGCCTCGTACCTCAAGTGGTTAGAGCGTTGGCTGTACTAAAGCCTTCCCCTTACTGCGTGGGTATGAATCCCACCAAGGCGCCGAGTTGTTTTACAGTTGGGTCAATATGAATTATTATTATTAGTATTACTATTATTATGATTATTACGATGAGTCTGGCGATAGAAAGCACCGTCGGGATCTCAGTCGGAAAAATGTCCGCTCCACAAAAACACCTCTACTCAGTGCTTGCGAATGGCACCCAAGCTGCCGCCGGAGCAGATAGTTCTGTTTTACGAGGGAGGAGAACGAAGACATTTCTCTCAGAATTAACAACGTCTTCATGGCCTAAGGACAATATGAAGTCTCGGTTGGATGGTGAATTTGTCGGTTGAAAGGCACAAATGTTCCCTCGGTTTCCTTCTCCCCACCCTCCTGATCAACAATAAATTTCCTACGGCAACCGCGGCCAGCGAGGCATGAGCTCTTCGAGTCAGCCATTAACTTGGGCGTGTGTGTAGGCGTGTGGACGACGTGCACTATGTTTATGCACACTCCAGACTATGGTTCTTTCGGGCACTAAAAAGTCCAAAAATCCACCCACATGAAGTGAGGCGTTCTTTTTTTAACTGTCTAACAGGCTTGGCCGTCTATTTTTGAATAATATGGGACAGTTCCGGTGGAAAACCGTCCAGTGACAGTCAGTTCTCTTCTACACTACAGAGAACGTAAATAACCACCCTTGTTTCTGGACGAACTGAAATAGTTAGGATAAAATTTAGTTTTCACATAATAATGCAGTTGACCCCTTTCAGGCGCACAAAAAGCACGTGGCCCAGGAACACGCGTTTAGTTGCATATGATCGGACAGTTAGTATTCAGGTTAATAAGTGTTTTTGGCAGATTCGAATTATACGGTTGATCCATTTATGAACAAGTAGGCGGCGGGCAGCTTGACCCAAATGTGATTAAACTCACGGCCCTAGGACGGGGTCTCATAGCCCAGGTGGTTAGAGTGCTGGCTATAGTCAAGCCCTGCCATTACTGTCGTGTGTTCGGATCCCACCGAGGGAGCCGAGTTTGTCACATTTGGGTTGAAATGATGTATTCAGATTGTTAAAAGGATGTTAAACGTTAAGGGCGCTTTCGGAGCTGCCACAACAAGCCTCTGATCATGTACTATTTTTAAGTCTCATGGCCGGACCCAAGGGCCGCGGTTCTTAAATGCACGTTTAATTTATGGTAGGTGAGAGTACAACAAAAAGTGCTTGTCGTATCGTGGCCAAAACGTACGCTACCAGCCGTTTCGAGTTCGAGAACGGACACGCATTTACTCAGAGGGCAACACCCTGGCTCTACTCCAATCACGTCTTATTCAATATTGTCACTTACCGTTTGACAACACAACTTTTAGGACGGATTTCTAGAAAAAGCCTTTAGTTACATTTCGTCGTTCGCCCTAGAAGTTCCTCACATTCTGGGTAATTCACATGTGGACAAAACAATAGGGGAATAATTCTTCGCTCAACAGTAGCTTATTCGAAAACATAATCGTGACACCAATGTACTAACCTCGCTGAGAAATGACTGAAATTAATCTAGAGGGAAATATTTGCCAAAATTTAACTCTCCATGCTCGACAGACGGTTGTAGCCTTTGCCAAGTATCTTTTTGCCGGTCTCCTCTTGCTGCGCGGTATGCGGAAGAAACCAAAAAAATTGTTGGTGATTTAGTCTATGTCCGTATGTCTTTGCGCAACTAAATGTTTGTGTGGAACCCTAAAACCCTCTGTCTCTGTTATACTCCCGTAGAAATTTGAAATCTACCAGACTGGTGCTCTGCTAGAACGTCTAACCAGACGCTACTCGGATACGTGACACTAACTTGGAAACTTATCCCAAGTCGATAAAATCGGATCTCCAAGGAGTGTGTGCAGGTTAAATACAGTAGATGTGCTATCTCATAAAATGTTAACCGGAGTTATTAAATGTGCTTTCGATTCGAAAAGATTACTTAAGTAGGATTGTAATACTGATTATCCTAATATATTTCAGTCACACCAGGATGCAGACTTTTAAAACACTCTTTCTTGTACTCATTTGGTAGTAAATTACGTCTTCAAATTTTATACTCGGAGGAAGGGTGTCTTGAGATTTAATTTCTTGTCTCACCTGCTGATACATTCGCATTCGGGGTTTGCAAACTACCTGTTGTATAAATTCCGTCAAATAATACTATTTATTCATCGACGCTCCTAGGAAAACGTCCCATTGCAACGGATTGGACTGGGTTGCACTGATTCGATGCTGTATGAATGGGCATTTCCCGGTCTTGAGAAATCTCATAATTTGAAACCTTTTTAAAACCGAAAGATACCCTTCGTTGGGTATAAAATTTGAAGATGCAGTTTGCTGTTAAATGAGCACAGGGAAGAATATTTTTGTGCACGTTTTCGATAAACATATAATCTCAGCTATAAGGACATCAACAGTCGACGAGGAAAATGCATACTACTTGAGTAGTCGTTTTTTTTGCAAGGTGTAATTTTTGCAGACGGCCGAAAATAAGCTCAGTAAAAGCCAGCATCCTGGGGTGACTGGAATAACTGAGGACTATGCTGCACGATAATCAATATTACAACCCTACCTAAGGAATCTTTTCAAATCAAAAGCAAATTCCAGAATTTCGGTTGACATTTCATGAGTTACCACATCTACCGTATACAGGGGGTAGTGTGTGACGTGCCTTCGCATAGTCAGAAACTCGGAAAACATTAATTTCGGCACTTCTTGGTAGCACGTCTAAGGAGAAAGAGACAAGTGTACTGGAACAAGGAGTTTATTCGTCTAACCACTCGGATTAATCGGAGGTGGCAGCAGCAGCAGCAGCAGCAGCAGCAGCAGCAGCAGCAGCAGCAGCAGCAGCAGCAGCAGCAGCAGCAGCAGCAGCAGCAGCAGCAGCAGCAGCAGCAGCAGCAGCAGCAGCAGCAGCAGCAGCAGCAGCAGCAGCAGCAGCAGCAGCAGCAGCAGCAACAGCAGCAGCAGCAGCAGCAGCAAGGAATGGCGAGACATCAGGGTTAGAACATTTGTAGGACGTGGTTGCTGTGTAACCACGTACCTAGGCTCTATCTATCTCCCTTGTATATACTGGATTATCGTAATTAGCAGCTCCCACACTCATCGCCATGTTCGTACTTGATACGATGATGGAATGATTACCTGCATCCGGGTCGCCTATGGCCGGAATCTATTCCTCCCTTTCGGTTGTTGACGTCATAATAAACTCGGCAATTTGGCTCGCCAATTCAGTCACCGGAAGCAATACTAACTTGAGTCACCCTACGTGACCATTTGCATTGTTAAAACAGAGTCGCAGCACTGCAAAGGATGGGGGGAGGGCATCAAACTTGTTGACGAACCGCCGACCGGAGACTTACGAATCAAGCTCATGCGGTTTCACCTCGCGCGAGGATTTAGGTTTTGCCGAAATTGAAGTTGCGGCCGGGTCCTGCCGAATGAGCCCCCCACCGGGGCAGTTGACATCTATTTCCCTCACTGCGTATGCCTGCTCGACCATTGCGTTTGCGGCAATCTTCCAGTTGGACCGATGTAGGTGTCTTTGCTAGCAGCTACACCAGATCTGGTAGATTACTTCAGTTGCTTTCTGGCGTGGCGGCAAAGCTTTTGGCCTTGTTGAGGAGCAATAGTCGACAGCCTGAAGGTTCCCAAATTCAGAAGGCAGAGGAGACAGTTAGATGGACAGTCCTCTACTGAGGCCGAGAGTGTAAACGCAGAACTGCAAGCAGGCGCAGCTGGCGTTCTCACCAGGAAGGCGTCAGACGAGCTTAATGGGTTCGCACTTTGTCTGGCTGCGGCCAATCGGTGAAGCGAGATATATTGGTCGGCGTCAAAGGCGGGAGGTTGGGTTGTTAGGAGGGCCGGAGGCGACATCGGCAAGTGGCGGCGCTAACGACCGTAAGAGTGGGCAGCTAAAGCCTCATTTGTTGGCGTCTAATGACTGCCATCAGACTGGGAGCAATCCAAGTTCCGGACAGTATGAGAGGACAGTTGACGAATTTTGTGATACTGATGACATAGGGCTGTGCTCACAGGAATTTAGTCGGTGGGGTTTGGTTTTCCGGCCCCTATTTGCACGCATTTACTGAGGGAATTGCCTGAAAAGCCATGTGATAGGAGCAACCGTCGAGATTGTTGTCTTGACCTCGTCTTTCTTTTCATAGCGGTGCGCCTCATCACGTCAACGGAGCGTCCGTTTGTAGCTGAGTTTATGGTCGATTGAGTAGTTTCTGTTGAAGCTCAGTACTAGGATGGCCATTTTTTGATTTTCGGAATACTTAGCTTTTATGAAAACAAAATATTTACGATGGAAAAGTGTATTAAGAGGAGCAAGCTGGTCGCTCCCTTCACATGTCAACGTGAATTATGTCCGGAAAGACAGAATTATGAGGTTCTTTGAGTGCCAATACCCAGCTTTGTTCGAAGACGACGACGACGACGACGAAGGTACCATCCACACACACGCGTAGCCCATAAATTTGGTTTGTGACGGCGATAGACAAGTAACTGCGATCATTGCAAGACCACTTCGGTTTCGAGTCCAGAAATCAGTGAACTAATTGGCGTGCTTTTCAGTGATATGACGGGCCAGGGGGGACGTCTCTTTATGCATCTTGGGAAGGCCATGGAATCAGACACAATCATGGTCTTTGCGGACCCTGGGTTTACTTATTGCATCGCATTCGAGCCTAGGTAGTACTGTGCATGATCTATGAATCAGACTGGTGATACTTGGCGTCTGACAAGTCTTTCCCTTTCGCTCGTCGCATCCGTCTGACTGATGGTAGCATGTTGGCAACTTTGATATCAGCCGTTTTGAATGGGGTTTCATTACCGTATTTGCTACGAAGTCGGTCCCTTCGATTATTGGTTTTGTAGCAAATTGTTGTTTTCGGACTACAGGATTATCCCAAAGCAGGAATCTTGCGGAACATATTCTCTAGCGTCGTATCGCGTAATGCCCTTCACATAGGGACTGGTTCGGTCGGCCACCACAGACAGAGTTCTGTGCCGCTCTCGCTCACGTACAACAATGGCCTCACTTGGCTCTCGATTAGGGCAGTTAATAACTAGGGTGCTGGTGATCAAGCAGGCGCTGCACCACGCACGAGCAGTGGGACAAATGCGGAAGCATCTTATATTATTGTGCGGTAACGTAGCAACTGTAGCCTACAAATGCTGTACCGTCTGTGCGTAGGCTGGCCCTTTTCCACCTCTAATGATGGGTCAGAGGGTAGATCTGAAACGTCGAACGAATATGACCCTTCTTTCAATGGTCGAATACCCGTTTCCTTCAGTGCTTCCCGGTACCCCCCTTTCAGCCTGTATCAGCCATTAACAGTACCTAAGCCGACGGTTAAACCCAGTGGCAAGATGCCCCCTCCAACAGATTCTCGAATACCGCCTTTTGACGTCCTAACCGTCATACTTTAGCGGAGGCTCCACCCTGCTTTTATGGAAGTTGTCTTCGATGGTTCTAATCAGATACCAAGCGAAGTTTAAAAGTTCGAGCACAGAATTCTATGAAGCGCACGAAGTTGCTGTCGGTCAGACAATCCAGTCATATTTTGCAATGGTAAGTGCAAACATTTGAAGACACGAAAACATCCGGACCTCTATTCTGGAGCGGAGAACGTTGGAGTAGACAGAAGTGCCGGTCATATTGAGCCCTATTCCCATGCCGGGAAGTTCTAAGGCCGTTAGACAGGGCATCTACATACCGAATCCATGACTGTCGGGTGGCCAAGGCCTCACTGACAAAAAGTCGACTGTTTTGGATACACCCTGGGTAGAGAGGGATGCAATGACAAAACAAGGCATCCGATGTCATTGTATGCATGACCAAAGGGGGGGGGGGACACAGGCCCGGAATAACAATACTGACAGGAAGCGCCTCCTATCATCTTATATCTAAAGCTCCTTCATTACGAGTTTACGCGGACGCACTAGCTACGGGAACACCACCTACTACCAGAGAGAGCCTTTATGTGACGAGAGGACTCCACTAAAACACTTGTACCCCTGTGAAATGTTGCCACGAAAACTCCAAAACAGTCTGCACAATCGGCGTTCGTGGCTTATGCCTTCGCCCACTTCGCCTCCCAACTCTTACATAACCCAGCGTTACATCCAACCCGCCTCCTAATTAGGAAAAACGGGAATCCGACATGCGTGTTAAGCCGCAGACAAGTCTTCACTTCGGCAGCAACTAACGAAACGTCAAAGGGAAATGCACAGGATGAGGCACGGATGCGGACACCTTGCCGAGTAAGACGATGCCCCACCGATTACGATTTGAAACCTGACGCATCAACAGCGCCATCTGTGTGTTAGCAACGCCTTTGTCGGGACCTAGTTAATAGTTATAAACAACCGCGTAGTTAAAGTCAGCCCGTGATTCCCACGCATCCGAAGACCTATACGCGGGCCTCCAGGCTGGGTAAGAAGTAACGCATACATTGTACTGGTAAGTGATTGGGTTCACGTTCCTAACGGGCATCCAACCTCAGTAATACGGTGACAGCAGAGGAACAGAGGCAGCATCTGGTTGAGGGCTATTGTGTAGGGCATAGGCTTCCGATAAGTTGAAATCTACTAGTCTTTTTTCCCCACTGTCCCCGTGATCGCATCTTCCGCTGGACTGCTTCCTGGGACTCGCATGTCCATTCCTATCGACAAAAGGAAGTCTTCTAGTTGACTATCCGTCCACGGAGTTCGGAGAACGAGGGAAAACGTGAACATCTTTTTGGTTCCACAAAACGAATTCCTTGGTTCATTCTTTCGAATCCACAGAGTAATCAAATGGGAAGCCAAGTAAGAACAAATCCCCCCTCCCCGAACCTCGTTATCCGTCAGACGGAAAGAGCGGAAAAGAAAGTCACGTCACTGTGAAAAATACAATATAATTACGAAAACAGGAGGGGAACGGAGTCCAGACCCTGTGGACTATCCAGACAGGGCAGGTAGCCGACAGGGAAGAAGTTAGGCAAAATGAGCAAAGACGCACACCCGCAAGGGGCACTGAGAAACATGTGCAAGCTCCCTCCCTTGTCGAGACAAACGTGGAAGCGGGGAAGCACAAAGTCAAAGGGATGGGAAGGAGGTGCATGCACAAGGGCATATAGGCAAAGATGGGAAAAGCAGAAGTACAAATGAAACGAGTGAGAACCAATGGTTACCAGGTCGTAAACAACACTCGCATAAATGCGTGCAGAGGCTTGGAGTGGAGCGCTGAAAAGTGCACTAATTTACACAGTAACAAGTGAGGGGACACAAAAGTGATGACGCGCACGAAATGTAAGTCCATCTCCTCTGTAAAATTGGGCGAGCGCATGGGGATTGGGAGATGGTGAAGAATGCGAATGTACAAATTCGAGGTTAACAACGCGATGCGTCCGCGCGTGCAACAGAACGAGCTCAGAACTGGATTGCACTACTGAAATTGAAAGCAGCATGAGGCGGCAGTAGTAATGACAACATTGCGACTGCGTCCGCCAGGGCGCTGATGGGAAGGGTAGAAATGCTTCCGCTGGTAGGTGGCTGCGGAGCGGAAAGGGTCAGTAAGCGGGTGGACGTGAAAATTCAGTCTTTTACAGACGACTGGCGATGAAGCCCACGATAGCAGCCACTCCAGCCACGCTCGCGATGCCCCCGAGTCCACGTAATAAGGTCTGTTTTACGTCTACCACATCATCGCCGGACGACTTGAAGGAGAGAATTCCCAACTAAATAGGAGTTGAAAAAGGCAAACACACTGCTAGAATAGTGTCAGCAGGCAGCCAGCTAAGGAGGGTGGTCAAGGATAACTTTCTTAGAATCTCAATCCGATATCTGGGGCTGGCAAATCCAAATTATAAGAGGTTGTGAGGAAATGGACAGGAAGCTGAATTCGACGGTCGACTGGAAGTTGTTTAAAAATGGTCCAAGTATTCTAAAAGAGGTGTTTGTGAGGATGCAAAAACGTCCGAACTAATAATGGTGATAGGTCGTTGGCAGACTTTAACAGGGATCATAGACTGACATTGAAACAGTCTATGCATAATGATACATCTGTCCCGACATATCTTGAGCCGACCTGGTGAAGCAGCCGATTTACCCTCACCTATACTAACAAAATCGTAACTTGCGCACACAAGAAGCATTTTGATAGAAAGGAGACGGCCTAAACGAGCAAAATTAGTGTCCATTTGACGACAGTAAGTCATAGATAACCATCTGGCCATGTCCAATTTTAGAAGGTCAAGATGCAGTAAAGTTCCAACTACCTAAATGTCTTACACCGATTCCCATTTAACGCCCAACAAACAGTCGAGTTATGTATTACCTCGGCCTACAAAACTAGATGTTAAAATTGCGGCAAAATCACAGACGGGTAAAAACTTCACCGACGAGCCACCTGGAAGTTCGACTATCTATAGTGCACTTAATAATCTACTTGGGATAATGAACAGATTGATTCACAGACAGCCAAGACCGTGTATTTAATCATTTATTGAGGCTATGCTTGCCAGTCGTGATTCCTAGACAAGATTTAATGGTTAGGCTAGACAAGCTGCCACGAACAAGCCTAGACCTTGGAAGGGGAAATTGGGCCACTTTTGTTAGCATACGGGGCGGTTAGAGCAAATTTGCAGTGGGACGCCTATGACGGACTCCGAAAATAAAAGTATAGGAACGGGAAAACAGGACTTACCCATCCACCTTTGCTTGATATGAAGAACCTGAGGCGATGTTCAATAACAGACGTGGTACAATGGATGAGTTCCCTGATCGTACCAGGCTCTTGGTGGTCAAGCAGATGATAAACCATCATCCTCAAAAAGGCAAACATGGCGATGACGCGACCCCAATTGACAGTGCAAAAGAGGCTATCGAGGACTTCGGCATAGGATAAGAGTAATTGTTTGGTGTCTAACGCACCCTTTTCTGTCAGACCCATGGATTTAACTTGAGTCTGAAAGCCAGCACCCTGACACCTCTTCTCAAATTCATCCACCAGTTGAACAATACAATTCACGATATCGGGACCGGATGACAGGGACTCGGGAACGTCCGGGTACTCAATAATGCCGTCAAGAACCTTCTTATGGTAGCGGTTGACGACAGCTACATGGACAAAGGCTTGCACCACCGCCAATGACTGTCCCTCAAAATCGTCTGCAGGCAAGACCATTTCTACTTCACAAGGACACGTAGCGATCTAAAATTGAAGCAAATTGAAGCACATTCATAAAGTGGGTCTTTAGCGCCGAAGATCGCACATTAGTGATATCAAATGGGTCTTAAGGAAATATGAACAGTCTTGAGTGTAAGGCAGAACACATCCCAGCGCATTTTTGCTCGGTCAGTGAGGAAGAAAACAACAGGATAATAGAACTGCTCAAATGGAGAGGGAAGAAAGACATTTCCTGGATTAAACACGCTTGTGGAAGTTTTATGACAAACAAGGCTGACCGCGCAGCGCGAACTCCCTATTAGTAGGCATGGCAAAGTCCAAAGGATGGCGAACACTGGTGGACTAGAATCGCAGTAGTTAGCGGAGCAGCAAAATTGGCCACAACCACTCAGTTAATATATTTCATGAAGAGGCATTAAGCACACTGAAAAGAGAAAAGTTGATAGCGGGACTTGCTAGAGATTTAAGATGCCGGTATGACGACTACCAGCTCCGAATAGTGTCGTGTCTGACATTTACAGATGGCGTATCGAAAATTAACAAACTCCTCAGGACCTGGGTAGAAACCAGGGTCACCCCTCGCACGCGCCAATTGGACCAGGGAAACATGGCAGAGTAAACAAGCACATATATGCGAAACACTACTAGACAACCAAAGATGGAGGCTACCTGGGGCATATGACAACATTATTTCGTTCATATTACGAGCCTGTGTCTCTTACCCGTTCGTACACGCAGCTGACGCCAACAACAACTGAAGTCGGCAAGGGCAACCAGTATTCCTTATTATGGCTATAAAACCTCCGTGCGCTAAAAAGGTTGCAATAGGTGAGAAACGAAAATATGTACATTACTACCACGCTAAGTCCCACAGGATGATTCTTAACTCAGGTGATGAGAAGGATACCCCGTATACCGCCGCCCATCGCTAATTGCGTGTAAAGTGTTCAGTCAGGCTTTACCTGGACAGAGACGTCTTACTCAAGAGGCGAGGCGAGCTCATGTCCTACGTTTGGGTCTAAGCCGCAGGCGCATGAATTACTGGGCTACCAATAAGTGTAACACGCCAGGGTGATATAGCCTTGAAGGTTGTTGCACGACTTTATGGACCGTCTTGTAAGCGGATAACTAACTCCTCGGTTTTGTCCATAAACCGAGGAAAACACTTTAGCTCCAAATGATACTAACGGTCTCGAACAAACAACAAATAAAGGAGTCAGGTAAGTGCTTGCACGGCTAATTCCCTAAGAATCATATAAAAGAGATGGACAACAAGCCAGATGATCTGACAAGGTGGGCGAAAATAATTCATTGAGAAGTAAAAAAATACTAACGGATAAAATGGGTTCGCGAACGCCCGGCGGAGCATTTACCAATTGTTAAAATTCTTATGAATGCGAAAAAGACCCCGTGGGATGGGAACATTAAACGATACGATTGATGGAAACGGAGGATTGGAGATCAAAAAGGAGGTCGGGAGGATTAATACTTGAACAGGTACTTGGGAGAGGATCAACGCACCATTGTACAAAAGGACGCAATCTAATGGCGAGAAAAGGTCCGATGCAAAGAGGCCGCCCGTGCTTTTAATAGGCTTCAAAAATTCAGTTCGCTGATCTATTTAAATCAGGTTTGGGATCGACTTTGAGGCCCCAGTAGTTCGGTGACACTTGTGTGGAAACCTACATGCGTTGCAGCTCATGCCTTGGACCAAAGCGTGCTTGGCAGATGCCACGTGGAGAATGAGAATTGGACAACGGAAAAGTAAGTTGCTGGAAAAGGCAGAAGTAAAAGGACCCGGATCAGACAGATAACTCAGGATTGTTCAGTATACAAGAAGCTGTGGCTTTACTCACCCTGGTAAAACGATCTGTAAATTTCCGGAGAATAAACTGAAGACTTTCAAAAGTATCTGGTCTTCCGATTTCACCCCGACCACAAATGTGTTAATACCTGTGAAATATGGAGGAAAAAAGCGTTAAGCTTTCCGAAACCCTATAAACTAAATCCCTTATGCTTATATGAAACCCAAAATCTCTAGCATCAAGTGGCAGAGGTTTGGTGGGCAAAAAACAACGCATATGTAAATCACCAAGCCGGCGTTTCGTGGTTTTCGATGTAATGTTGAACAAATCGTATTCGACGTCATCCGTGGTCTCATCGTCTCATAACATGGCTAATTGCGTAGGGCCCTCAAATATTGTTCATCACAAGGTCCCCCAATACAAAATGCATAATTTATCCATACAGCCTTACCTATTTACCAGTAATCCCTAGTCAACTAAAACAGGTGCTTAGTTCGAAAGCAAGTCTGAGTTCCATTTCAGCCATTAACACACTGGAAAAGTCCAGTTTCTCTAGAAAAACTTCCTGTCCACGGCCGCCAACCGCTCTCCCAAACTCTACCACCCCAAAACACAACTTATTTTCAACACCCAATCAGATCCTATATCGAAGCTGTCAAACCCAATATGCCAATATTCCCGTCTAGGAATGGTATTTCTGCCTCAATCGAAACAGATTCCCTCCACAGTCGTATTCCCAACGGAATCCTTGTCCTACTGGGCTAGTAAAGTCACCCGGTCCTCCGTGTCAGCTCGACAGGAATGCGTTGTAGCATCCTGTGCATGGATTTTCTGTGCAAACTCAGCTAGCTAGTGATGTTGATCGGTTTTCTTGTACGTCGTTTTCGTCCCCTCTATCCTACGCCTCTTTGCCCACATCAGGGGCTTTCGGTGCTACAAACGTGTATACAGAACCGGACAGGAGCATTCGATCACCATGTTCCGTGGACAGTCAACCACTGGATGACTTAACTCTCCCCTCTCATAAACTAACAGTCTGTTCTCTTAAGCTCTTCATTCTAGATGTCAGGTCCTTGCCGAATGAAATGTCCCTACTCTAAATTCCGGTGTTCGTCCACTGTCTTCATATTACTACACTATCTGAGGCATGGATAGCGCTTTCCATAGTTGGCTCCGAAGTCTTTATTCTGGGGTATAATTGCATTTGAAATGATCGTTAATAGGGACGGAGGGATGGAAACACCTGCATTTCTGCTGCTGGACTTTCCGAATCTTTCCTCAGTAGAAGGTAGCTTTTGGCTTCGGGATGCTTTAAAAATTAAGTACTCTTTACTCGTTGATTGTGTCTCTCGTTCGCTCGACGCCCGTTAGGATTTTGATCTTTGTGTTTCCCGGGCATTCCATGCCGCAACCGAGTTGAACTTTAAGTATCCCGTAGTTTCAGTGACTACAATCTTCCCGAAATCCACTGGTTTCCGCCTTCCGGTCAGAAATACCGTGGCCTTACTTGCGGACGTGGATGCTAACATGTAGAATTATGTTGTCGATTTTGCCATCCAACCTGGTTGTTTTGATTTTCTGTAGTTGTTGCCTGCGTTTGTCAGTGTCAACCTTGCCCTCACTCGGGGTTCAGAATATGACATACTTATTTCTACGTTAGAGTTGCGTCCTCCTTGCATGCGATTTGTGATCTAGTTCACGAGAGCGGAACCTATGCCATGTCGTGGAAGAAAGCACACATCCTGCTTATCTATAATCACGGAAAATCTACATCACTTAACGGCCTAGGGTCAAAGGACATCCGTCCAGGAGTTTTGAATATCTTAGGAACCGTGATCAAAGGTAAGATGATGTGGAATTTCGGGTCGGGCTTGGTCCTGCAGCCGCACTGGAAATGGATAAATCCCGACTGCCTGTAATACGAGAATGGTGATAATAGGAATTTTACAGGTGGGACATTTTGACACGCCAGCGGGAAGGTAGTAAAATGGTATGATGGAAAAGAACATTTTTAGGTGACCAGGGAAAATTTGAAAGAGGTGAAACCCACGTGTAAATGATGAAGGTGTGATAGTGTATGTGGCACAGTTCGCGGAGAAAGCCGATGTTTAGGCGGGAAATGCAAGAAATGCAGAAGGAAGACAAACAAGCAATAGGAATTGACAACGTGTGGCCAAGGTCGTTCTGCATGGTGAGAAGACAAAGTGATGGAAGGCAAGGGAAAGGATCTGGGGGCAGTCACTTAAACGGATAAGGCAGTTGTCGAACCATTGGAAATGAGGCAAAGGCATGATGTGACGATTTTGTAAGTTGCCCTGTAATAATGATAATGAAAATGTAGATACAGTACAGGCGGCAAACTAACACGCTGAAGTGCAAAGGCAACGCAGAACGCAATTCCAACCCCAAAACAAGGCCGTACACCTGTACGCCATTTAATTTGTTTACTGAACATACTGCAGCGGTGAAATTTTCTTAAAAACGTAAACGACCTTCCACTTGCGTCTTTAATGCACCTAGTCTAATCACTAGTTGGATTAGGAAAGAAGGAAAAGGGGGAGCAGAGAGGGTGAGGGCGGGGCTGTAAGTGCATTGAGCACTTGATCGAAACTCCGCCGTTCACTCACCGAGCCTAGCCACTCGAAGTAGTAGAAAAGAAGGGGAGGGCAAACGGAAGGGGAGCGGGGTGCAAGTACATTGAGCACTCGGTCTGAGCCTTGCCTTTGAAGTATGCAGTAAATGTATTTAGCACATATCTCAATAGTCTTTCCAAAGTGTACCATTTCAGCATAATCGCGCCTACTCAAGACGGTTCAGTAGGTTAACAGTATAATATCCTCAAGTGCGGCTGCGGGAACAAACCTTACCGAGCTCCGTGTCTCAGGTGGCTAGAGCGTTGACTGTACTCGAGCCGTACCCTTCCTCTCGTAGGTTGAAATCCCATCGAGGTCCTCGAGTTTTTCACAGTCGGGTCAAAATAAATAATGCGTCACTTAACCCAGAATAGCCTATTAAGCGCGGCTCAACACGGATCCCTCAAAGCCCGATCTTGCGAGACCTGCTGGCTCGGCAATCTGTGGACAATGGTTTCGCCCCCTTTCACAGTGTGTGTCGATTCCACTAGGGCTTTTGATTATGTTGACCATGATCTCCATCAATTTAACTTTCCCTGCTTCGGAAAAGCGGTAAACTTATGAATTTTACACCTTCTTATCTTGGCCTTCGCAATCAACGTGTTAGAATTTCCAGTGCTATTCCTAATCCCACATGCATGAACGGTGGAGCCTTTTGGTGTAGTGTGCTTGACCTGCTCATATTACGTCATTTTGTGAATAATGCACCAGATTTGTTCCGGAATGGCAGGCCTTTTGCATACGCTGATAATTTAAAAGTTGTTTATAGATATAAACCGGCATATCGCAGTTAAGAAACGATCTTGGGCCTTTGTCCAGTAGTAATGTACATGGCGTCATTTATTTCCCTGGTACAAGTATTCATTTATGATGGTTGGCGATGATCATCAGCCATAACTAAGTATTGACGACCACGACACAAATGCACCCGGAATTATTTAGGATCTGGGCATACCATGCTCCAAAAGTCTTGATCTTTCAGAGTATCGCATCCCAAGTACCTCCAAAGCACGCAGAAGAACCGGGTCTATCCTCAGAAACCTTAAAACTAGCGATACTAGACCTTGCCTTCATAAAATGCACATTAGACCTGATTTTAAATACTCTCCGTTTTTATCTAATCTCCTGCGTGCTGCTGAGCGGAAGGAAATAGAATTCCTTCAGCGGTTATTTGAAGGGGTTTTAACGGTCAAACTCCGAAATTTGACATACCTATAACGTTGATGGCTTACAAGTCTTGATCCTTCGTTGTTTCACCGATTAGAAAAAAGACACTTTACTGTTTAAGCCTTTAAACAGCCGTAGTTTATAAGCCGCTTACTGATTTGAAAAACGAAAACCACCCAGATGCAACGGTCAGCGCGGGGTCTTCATATGCCTTCCTCTGGCACATACAGTTGAATAGCTCCTCTAATTTTCCCTGATTACAAATACAATCTGGAATAAATTACACAAGAATACGAAAATTCTACAAAAGTATTCTGTGTCTGAGAAAACTATCAGTAATATTCTGAGTCCACCACTTTTGAGCGTTGAATCCACCGAATAAATTTTTTGTAGTGATGGAGTTCGTGATCTCCGATCTCTCCACCGACCGTATCATGTGCGAAATGGTGCTAACTCTGCAGCCCGCAACCCAGCGGGTAATTTCTCCAGCTGACCGCAAGCAGTTATCCACCCAACAAGCCTGTTTAATGCAGTCAAGATTCCATGAAAACGATGGTGACTGAAAATATCCGACGCCATGTTAACCATTCCCCTTCTGGACTGCCGTAATTTCAGGGACTGCAGTTTTTTCCTGATCTATCCAAACTACCCACAAACACTACATTATTTATTTATTCTCCAGGAGTTTTGTCATTGCCAGCTCAATCCGTACTGTGTTTTTTTTGACAACGCCTGTAAACAGGCATTGTATACAATTGCTGTTAATACGCATGAATTACGTTTTTTGGACCTTCGTTTTTATTATCAGCCGTGTTGGAGGTTGCGGAAGACGCGGAAGACGCGGAAAACAGAGAGTGCCGTAGGATCATAGCGGATGAACCGTAAGAAAATGTTGGATCTAACTGAGCAGCTTTCTGGT